AAATAGTACTGTTGATTTAAAAAAAATAAATTATGTATCTGAGTCAACTTTCGTACGTTCTGGTATCTCTACTATCCGCCGACCGCGGAAATACTTACAGCTGGTGTTGTTATAGACCGAATATAACTGAACTATTAATGTAAGACTTTTTTTAAATAATCGGCACTGATTATATATGGTGCATAACAATGTCGCGCGACGTCGATGACCTCTATGACGTTGCGGTCAGGGGCAGCGTCGGCGTTGCTGAATTCGGATCGGACCATCCGCAGGTAAAGGATATCTCGTATTCCTATAAGTGGGCAATAATACTAGGATTACACATGTCTGAATAATGCAACGTCTATATCACTTACAACTCTATACCCCCTACAACCGCTAACCCCGAGTATTTAAACCCTGCAAAAAATTATATGACAATGATCAACAGCCTCAGGAACGCCAAAAAATGAAGTTTGCGCGATTACAGTGCTTCTTACCAGTAGAGTGGGAAATAAACTTGTGTAAAATTACAAACCGAAGCTGCTGAAAAATGTTGGGGATTATAGCTTGTGTTCAGGACTTCGAAGAACGAACAAAAAGTACGAGGTATTTTAAGAAGTCCGACAAAAGCCCACCAATCATAAATGCACAAGGGGATTTTAATACAAAGGTTCAGAAACACCACAAATAAAAATAGCATGATGGTATTTTTACATAGTGCATATGCTGCATATACAGAGCCGTCAATTTCGAGCAATAATTATCCGCAATCAACGGGTTTCATTATAGACAGTGCGGCTGCGGTTTTTTATTCTGGGAAGTAACACCTGATGTTTTAGTAGTTTCTCTCAAAGTCGAACGCATCATTAATAATTATTGATGATATAGAAGCTGTCAGTAATTATGAACTGTGAGAGTACAAATGCCCAAGTTTCATATATCAGATACCTTTTAGCAAATAATTACGATGAAAGTTAGTTAATGCAATAGGTGGAAGTATTCCAGTTCTTGCTGAGATAAGATTGATACTTTTAGGAAAAGTTCAATGTTCAGGGTACTTTGTTATTTCCCAAAATATCAGAGCCCAACAGCCATTTTGGTGCCGGAGAAGTAAGAACTGAATATCAGTATTTTTGATGCGCTTCGAGGAAGTTGGTGCACGTACAAGAATCAACCTTGGCGCAAAACCCGTACGGACATCACTGGTAGAAATAATAAAACTGTTGACTCAGAAAATGCACCTGGATAAATAATCGCCTCACCCAATTTGTGGATTAAGGTAGACTCCTTCAATTTTAGTGAATTTACTGGATCATATTTAACGATTTGTAGTTACTTTCTTGACAGTTAATCCAAAATAACTGCCTAGCAACTGGGTACAATGCTTTGCGTTAATTTGTTATACCTAGAAAAAGGTTCATGTAATTATATTTACCTTCCATAATTATAATGGATATCCAGTACACTAATGAGTACTAAACCAACAATAAATATTTTCTGATATCATTGCTATTATTACTAGCGTTATCTTATTATCTCAACATCATATTTTCCTAACCCGTTAATGGACGAACCCTATTTTATTCGTCAAATTAATGATAAACCGCCAGTGAGTCATAAAATTTCCATATCTGTCTAGATATTGAACGACGATTTTCCATTGTTTATAGTGCAATCGACTGAATGAAATGTACAATTATTGCAAATCATCATATATCCCAATTAGCGAAAACTATCGGTTGGAGCTGAAAAGATCACATCTACTGTCGCCTCAGCCGTCAGCCTCTAGCGGACACAGTGGTGACCGGGCTATCAAACTCGAACTAAGATCTTTACAGTCCCAACCGAAAGCTGCTATACACTCTCGTATAGGCCGATTCAGGTAATAGATGGTGCTTTGCGCTGTATTAATTTCTGCGGACCTTTACTTCCCAAGCGTACTGGCGGGAAATGAGATAGTATCTGTTTTATGTTATTTGACATGTACATCACGAAAAAAACATGTCATTCATTTCCGTCTGTATGTCTGTTTGTCCGCTAAACCTATAACCGTCTGTCACTTTAAAAGTACCGCTGAATTTTGATGAAATTTTTACACAATGTTGTAAAAAACGAATGATGATTTTTGAAAATATTTTCAGAGTGAGCAAGTTGGGGTGAGAGTATATGTCAATTGGTTAATGTTAGCATATTTAGAGCGTTATCCGCAGACGGCTGGCCTGCCATACGGCCGTGTCTGCTTCTGCTGCGGGTCCTGATATTATTGCCGCGCCATAACAGTGTTTTCTATGCTGTGGCCGCGGTGCCACGTCTGGGTCGCCTATGGACTAGTTTGACTGACTTTTTTCTCAGTGGGTCAAGTTTGTGCTGAACATAAAATCCTTATGAACTGATAACGGCGTTGCGTGAAAAGTGCACAGTCAATCTACTTAACGCCATTTCTTAGATGTGTATTGTTTGTGATAAATACAGAATAAGTGCATAGATATTAATTATGTTGAAGCTGGACTTCATGAAATAAAGGGACGATGGAAAAGAAAGCTCTATCAAAATGTGCTCGGATTAGCTACAGTACCATTCTACAAGAACTTGTTAGATTCGTTTCAGTGACAATTATACTGTATGGGCTTACTGGATATGAACCTAAATGTTCTTCCATTCCATAAACAAATCACATTAATTGCTCGCCTTCTTATCTTTAGAATAAGCCTGTCCTTGGAGGGCAAGCCATTCCAAGGATATTTAGATACAACCATCTTTTCAGTATGCCATCTCATAAACACGCTTCTCCCGGAAGTGTTTCACTGATAACGTTATCAGGACATATTACTCTATTATACCAGCACTCAAGTCAAAAAGCTTATCTTGCTTACAAGTTGCTTACTAATCCAGGTATTTAGAGTCGTCTGTTTAAAATCATTGTTTTAAAGTGATTGTTTCAAATTTATTGTTAATATACAAATTTTGTGTTTATTATTTACTTTTTGCTATTTGCACTACTTGTACCTATTTAAACTGTTTAGATATATACATTTTTTTTGTTCTGTTCCACTGTTTTGAGGTTGAGTGGCAGAGTAGCCGTGTGGGTAAACTTCGCCTCCATTCCGATATAGTAATGAAGACAATTTATGATTCTTGTTACTTGTTGAGCTATCGTTTTATACTGTTTCATTGTCTTGTTTCCAATGCAGAAAAACGACAATTGCACATGCAAATTTTTATGTAAAACACAAGTGGTGCCCAACCCAACGATCTCAACCTTGAAAGCAAGCCATAAGAATGCGAAAATAAAATTTGGTATATGACCTGATAATGTAACGGTAACCGAAACTCAATGTAATGTAATGTAGGAGAATGACTCTGAAAAGGTCCAAGTAAGAAACCATGATGGAAGCTGCAAAATTATCTGCAATTAACAAACATAATTTCGTAATTTGAACTCGGCATAAATAATCAATTCTCTAGCATTCTATTATATTTTATAATCAAACTGATGACTAGACCATGTGTCTATCCTAGCTATTGTAAGATGTTATAACGGAACTATCATGTTATCAGAGATTCTCAACATTGTTATTTTCAAAATATTTTTTCGAGTGCAAAAGGTAGATATGTGGGACTTTGGTATTTGTGTAACACGCAATTACTAGACATCTCGGATAAATAACATTTCACGCGCAGGTATCGGAATTATGGTGTTTTTATGCAGTCTGCAGTTGACTCAATTTTTCATAGAAACATTTAAACTAAATCATCTAGGATTTTTTTCTAACTAGAATGGCGGGGTCTTCCCTCATTTTGAAGCCATTATAGTCCTAGAATATACAAACAGCATCTTTAACGGACTAGCCGACTGTCAAAGTTTAGCTTTTTTGTATATTGAGTCACTTATAACTCAACAACTGAGGATCACACGTATGTTATATCAATCTTCTTATTTTGCAAAGGGGTGCCTGAATATTTAATAATATATGAGACATTTCACTTTAAAAAAGAGATTTAAGACATTTTTCTAAAATGGAATGTACATGGGTACTGTTTCGACGCTCAAATTTGCAGGCTTTTAGTCCGCTATTTGAAAAAGAGCTGTTTTATACTCTAGGCTTATAAAGTTCTGTTGATGAGTTTTAAAATGAGGTATCACATGAGCACCTTTCCAGTTAAAAAATGTTCCAAGATGTCGTCTTGCCGTCATCTTGATATTTTCTATGCTGAAATATGGTATTCATGCATCATTTTATTAACCCAAATTTGAGCTTGCTAGCTTGACGTGCTAAAAAAATAAGTAGCTGGGCTGTTCATAAGTACTGCATAAAAAAGCAGAATTCTACAACTGAATCTTGAACCGCAAAATAAAGAACAGTTACACCAGAATCCAACACAAAACATTTTTAGATGTCCAAACTTGGTGTTTAAACAAAATGGCATGAGCTAGTAATATTTTTTTCATGGAAAAACTATTCACAAGAAAGTAACGATTAAGATGATAAGATAACCACATCTCACAGACTAATAATAATTATGGAAATTGTAATCCGCCCAAACTTGTACGCACTTCTGTGAAATGTTATGAAGTAACACCATGGAAGATAATGCTCACAAAACCTGATTTTATCAACTTGTCTGAACCTGTAGCTCGAACCTCCGCACACTGTCTGATAGGTACTTACTTGAGATATTGAAACATTTCAGTTTGAAGCTAACTAGGAAAACCAGATAAAATGCACATCGCATGAAACTTGCTCAAACGTAAAGTTTGTACATAATTCTGGACTACTAACTACTACTACAACAATCATACATCCGTCCTAATAAGCTAAACGTGCTGTGGATATCTAAAAGCTTGATACAACTTGTAGTCTAAACAAAATGTAAATGAACTGGTATTTCATTATAAAAGAGATTCACGTAATTAACAAAAAGCTCAACAACCATATCCCAAACAATAATTACGAAAATCACGCATTCAACCTTCGCAGCGCACCCGCAACAACAAAAAAAATACAGAGAAAACTCACGTATTAATCACCGTTGCTATTCTACCTGTCCGCAGAGCCGTTCCACGCTTTATTTACAAACAAGAACTTGAACTGTACAGAGCAAATATCACAGGCGGCAGCGTGTAATAAACAAAACACTAGCGTTCGCTGAGCCTCGCGGTTGACAGCGCTCGCAGCACGACAACAACAACAAGGACCTAGTACTCCTAGTAGTCTCTCAGCTGATTGTCAGCTGTTTCGCTGGTCGTTGTATTGTCGGTCCGACCAGCTGAGGATTCGCCTGCCTGCTTGTCGCGCACGCGCAACGCGTTCCGCTTTGTTTAGAAGCACTGCTCCCGCTCACCGCCACTACGCTCTGCCTGTTCAATACATGCTCGACGTTGCCGCACTGTGTTCCAGAAAATGGTCTAAATACAGGGAAATAAACAGATCGATCGGTTGTATTTCTATTAGTTGAAAAGGTAATTTAACATAAACCGATAATAGTAAGAAGTTCTTGATTGATGCCTTCTGACTCTGCTTTGATGAAAAGTTCATGTCCAAATTTAAACAGTGTAATACAGGAATTTGTCGTCAAATAAATCCAAGTTGGTGGATTTCTTCACGAAATTGGAACTTGTTCTAATTTTTGCCAAGATGGACGTCAAATTCCATAGTGCCAAACTTATTTTCCTTTCCATTATATATCGAACAATATGATTACTGTTTATGAGATTCGCCTCAAAATCAAAACCACAATACACAAAAAACTCAAAATGTTTTTAGCGGTTGGCAAGACTGTGTACTGGGATAATCCATGAATTTGTCAATTGATGTTAACACCCCCAAACATAATCAGAATCTATCTGAATAAATTCTTGAAGAAATTATAATGATGTAAAACGGGTATAAGGAACTAATGTCCTCTCCACCAGCGAGAAATATGATTTATAACTTTATTATGAAAACAAGAGTTTTTCGTAAGGTATCCTCCAGCTGGTTGGCTGTTAGGGCCGTGTGCGGGAGATTACATGATTTAATTTAGTATCAAAAGAGATTTTCGGAACACAAGTGCCTGGAATAGTTTTGAACGATGAAGTATTTCACAGTCATATCAATCATATCAGGTTCTGACCAATTGTATCGGTTATTATTTTGACCTTGAATCCTCTAACTGACCTTCAGGTTCGTGTTTTGGACCTTAGCAATCTTCTGTTATAAATAGTTTTGACAAATATTTGTAGTAGTAGCATCACTAGATCTACAGATCGTAAAGGTTGGTGGAACTTTGGTGATGATTTATCATCTGTTCGCATTGTTGACTACTGATGTTATTTCTTTAAACAACATAAATAAAATCAGGTATAATAAGGTAAGTCAGGTTTTATAGTATGAATTTTGGTTTTCACGAAATACACAAGGCATTTTGGTAGTGATTGCTTAAAAGATAAAAGAGTCATTGAACTAGAGATAAATGAAGAATTAGGTGTATTTAATATTAATCAGTCGCTATTGAAAACACTCGATGAAGTGGAATAAAAAATTAGATTCATAAGATGTTTAGTATAAATTAATCAACATCTTGAGATAATATGGAATAATTTGATACATAAACAATACTTAGACAAATTTCCATTACAATCTTTTCAATAATACTTGATATTCTTTGGGCGGGTTTTTAAAAAAGCAATGCGCAATTTTCAACGATTTTTTAACATCGTTTTTCGTCCCGCGGCCAATGATGATTTATAATTCTGTGAACCTTTGAGTTCAGCCATGGTATACAGAATGAGGAATTCCGCAATAATTATTTTCAAACACCGATAACTAAAAGTATTTCAATTGGTCGAGCTACTGACTTTTTTGGAAGTACTTCAGCAATAAGGCGTTTCGTAAAAGACTTTTGAACCTGAACCACAAACAATCCATAAATCTTATGTTAACTGATATAACCTCACTTTCTTCCAATATATCGGAGACGTTGCTAATTAGCGGGATCTTTTTGCACATTATCGTATACCTTTGGCATCTCAATAAGAAAAACAAAATTACTCGCTGGCCGCAAGATAACCATGCAACCCTAAGCCTATTGTTCTTTCCGAAGTTTATTTTCATGATGTCAATAATGGTGCGCAATAATCTTTTTAATTACAAGTTCTTAAAAATTTAATGAATGTTTCCGAATCCGCAAGCCATTCTGGGGAATTTCAGACGGAGAGCTTCTGATAGTCTCAATTCCGGGACATTTAGTTTTAATTCCCAATAACCAATAACATTTTTTCCTTTCCGTAATATTCTCAAATTATATACTTTTCATCTTCAACATGTGTTCAACAAAATAACACCTGACTGTAAAAATTGTTCTCTGATATCTTTTAACTCTTGTTTGAATTGAGGAACGAAGAGCGTATTTGCTTGCTAATTATAAGTATTCACGTTTAACATGAAAATCATATACACAATTGCAGTCTGTGTAGTGTTGCTACAAATTCTGCCATAGTTTCTGAATGATGTTTAGAAATAGTGTTGACTCACAATAGCATTACGCGCTGGTGCTTTAATTGCTTTAATATTGAACACATATGAGAGACTGTTAATAGGTTCTTCTGTACCCAAAAAGGAAGTTAGATTATTCTGATGCATTGACCCTATTGATACTCAGAGAATCTGGGTACGTTTAGTAGCGTCTGTTGAATCCTTTATTGCCATGTAGTGTACAAATCGCTCAAGAAAATTAGTCTAACTCAGGGTTATGATTTTCGGATGAGATTTGTGTATTTTCTTGCAACTGCAACATGAATCATATCTGTATTTGTTGAAAAACTTGAAGAAGCTGTCGAAAATGATCTCCTTTTTGACGTTTGAAGATTACGTTTCGTGACAGCTTCAGTAACTGTAACAAACTCAACTCAGTTACATTTGTGTATTTACTGTTGTTTATAATGCATATTTATAACTTTTGATTTAATTAAAATATTTTGATTACAAGTTTTTATTATTTGTTTGAGGAAAGGACGCATATTTTATCCTTTGCCTGAGGACCCGCAAAGCTGAAGCCGGCCCTGCGTTCTGTTCTTCCTTCGGATTGTGCTTCTTGTGCTTCGGATGAAGCTTTTCAGACAAACGGGTTCTGGCGTTGTTGTGGTCGCCCCAAGTTAACGTCACTCTTTGGGTACATCCAGTTTCTCTAAATGGCAGAGACTCCAGACTATACTCAAAGCCCATGGTTGAAAACAATAGGATTTATCGCCGCGATGAAAGAAATGACACCGTACGTCGTCGATGAATGGCGGATATATTCAAAAGCTTACGACGAATAAAAAGTTCAAGCATACACAGATGGTCTGCAGAAAATGGATATAGACAAAAGAGCTTCCGAATCTGGGTCTCGTATGATGTGGCTGGATAAAGGAGATGGAATAGATATTTATTAATACATTGGCAGTTGCTTTGACCGCAGCGAAATTGTTAAGAGAAATTTGAATTACATTCTGGCACAGTACTAGTACCTACTCTCATATTTTCGCTATAAGCTAAAAAGGGTTGAAACGTTCAACTCACGGATGTCTACACAGTATCAACTGTGCATCACAATTATCATAGAAATTTGCACAAAAATTCAACGTAATTTTTGGGAGATGTTTGCATTTGGATAGCTGCTAAAGATAAGGATTTGGCGACACACGCAGTTATGTCCAATGCCCATGTCGTGCTTAACAAGATGCTACAGAAAATCCTGTATACTGACGTAACACTTGTAGTGTATAAATTCAAAAATTAAATATATATATATATATATATGATAGAAAAAATTATTAGGAAATTTCAAAAACGTAACACGAAATACCATAACTGATGGCAGTTTTAAGCATATATGCATAGTAAGTGATAATCAGAATACGAATAAAATTGTTGTAACCGCAAAGAATTTTTAAGCTTCCTTGTATTTAAATAAATCCGATAATAGCTTAGGAATAACAGGTCGGAACGAGTTGGTCTTCAATGTTTTCTCAACCAACAGAGGTACACCTGACCATGAAATTTACAATGATGGTGGCAAGCAACCTCTACAGTGAGAAACAAATTTGTCTGACGGCTTGAGTTCAATGTGTACGAGAGAGAAGTGTGTACTCGTAATAGACACACATGTTAGAAAGAGATCGAAGCTGGATGGATAGCGAATCTCATCATTGCGTTGCCTTGCAACGATGACGTGGCATTCTGCCGCGTTGACAATATGTTACACCAGTTCCTTGAATTAAGATGCATGTTGAAAATATGATTTAGCTTATTCTCTATGCCCAAATAATGGTTTTATTTTGAGCTCACACATTTTTGTATAGTGAATTGTGTCGAATTCTATTTAGGATTGATTCCAAATCGGTCCGAACGGTGCTTCATGTTAGGTCGAAATGAAAGGTCAGGGTCGCCACAAAGTCTGCAACATTGCACCAATAGTTCGCTTGGCAACACCGCATCTCGAACATTCCAAGGCAGGGTTTCCATCTCCATGATCAGTGATTTTGGTCAGTACCCATCTAGCGCTCATAGGGGACAGTGATAATTTGTATTGCGTAATGGGTTGTTCGACCGCTCGCTGTCGCAAAATGTATCAATAACTCAGGATGTGTTGGTTGTATTACCATCGGTGGAAATCAAAGATAATTCTAGTTCAAAAGCAGTGCAGCATCTCCGATATTATCCGACAGCCAAGGAAACTAATTAGGAAAGGGAACCTACCTAGAGAGAGACGTTTCTACCTAATTATCTGAAATAGTTGATCAGCTTGTTTACCGGGCATAATACCATAACTCGCCAAGACTAATAAATGATTGCAGCATATTGAAATCACACAGAAATGAGGTTGCAACCTTCAACTTGTTTTAGTAATGTATTTAAGAGACGACTGTTTCATATGAATCTGCTTTCCTTGAAAGTAATGAATATGAATTTAGCCAAATGACATGCTCTTAAGCCTGTTATGAATAGATCACAGAAGGTGTGTAGCTATTCAGAAGTGTAGAAATATGTTCTGAAATGCAGATATTGTAATCAATTTCTGTCACTGACTTCAACAAAAATAAATAATAAGTGTTGCTAACTTGGGTACGTTTAACGCAACTTCGATTTACGACGAACATTAATGCTATCTCTAGACCAATGATGTTAACAGCTTGTATTATGGTATCATGGTTTTATCAGCATTGCCCATTTTGGCCAAGCATTAGCGTCATTGACAGGCCAATAAGATTATCGCCCGGTTTACCGTTCTTGCCCATAACACAAACATACATGATACATTTATGACATTACATAAAATCCACTACTATTGAAAAAAGAAGATTTAAAAGCAAGCAC